AGTTGGAGGTTGCTGTGAGCTGTGATGCCACAGCCCTCTACCCAGGGGGACAGCTTGAGGCTCTGTCTCAAAAAAAAAAAAAAAAAAAAAAGACATGATTGCCTAAATAAAATAATTCAACAAAAATACCAAGCAGGGACAAGAAAGGTATATAAGATCTAAATTCAACAATTTTCATATTATGATGTCAGTAGGCATTGCTTAATGTCAATAAATAATGACCTGTAGACATAGACATGTTTATAGTTAGGGAGGTGTCAGTCAAAAGCGGTTTTTTTTTCTCCTCTCTGAAAAGTGAGACTTGGTACACTAAGGACAGCTTATACTTTTTATTCAAAATCATCTACACTTTCTGAATCTTTTATTTTCATTTGCTTGTATCACTTTAGTAAGATTGCTTGACAAAACTCTGCTTGGTTGCTTACAAGGACATAATCTTTTTGTTTCATTTTTTTACTAGGATAATATCACACACTGGTTGTTAATCTCTTCGGTGGTGCTTGGCTAAGTCCTGCTAAAGGTGCTTGGTTGACTCAGTTAAAAGGGACAGGTTAGTTTTAGTTTATGTTTTGTTTGCAGTGGACTACAACTGTGCCAAAATAATTCATTTTTTGTGTATTTTTCATTTAATCACTATCTTTAAAACCTTTACCATCTCAGTTCTGTATATAAGCTAAATTAATGTAAGTATTATGCAGAGGTTGAATTAAGTATTCAGATGAGCTTTTTCAGGGTACTGTGTTTTCAGTATTGTACTCCCAGGAAGAGGATCAAAGCCTGTCGGAAGGCCTGTTCTGGAAATATCGCTGAAGGGCTGTTCCTAGAATGGAGCAGAGTGGGGTCTTCCTGGGCTGGACCCTCAGTCTTTGGAGGTGGTAGTTGAGATCATAAGCTTCTCAAGTGACTGTGATAGTGCTTCATTCTTTCCTGTAAGGCTTTGAAGGATATTTTATAAGGTTCTAATTTTAAAATGGAAAAATGAGTCATTTTGAGTAAATGTATTTTGATAGGTAAGATTTTTTTAATACCTGGAATCCACAGGGGCCAAATAATGAAAAGACTTGGGGTAGTACGGTGTTCTGACGCGTACATCTTTCTCCTTGCTCAGATTCAGCCCTCAGTTTCTAACTCGATTTTAGCAGGGAAACCTAGAGGTTGGGAGCAGGAGGGAGGGTTGTGAGGGAAGTTTGGGAACACCTGTCTACCTAGTGCTTTGATAGGAAAATGTAATTTCTATTCAGAAAGCGGAAGGTACTCATTTTTCTGATGCAAACTACAGAAAGTGAAGATGCACAAAGTTTTAGCATCCTTCGCAAGTGCTTTCTCCGTGCTGGAATCCTGGCTGCTCTCCCTTCTCTTATTTATTCATTATCTGTCTGTCATCGGTACAGATTCCTGTCATTTTCAATGACTTGTAATTCCTTACTGTCCTAAATTTGGTGCTTAAACAATCTCAGTTTGGGGCAAGAGCTCTTTTTTTTTTTTTTTTGAGACAGAGCCTCAAGCTGTCCCCCTGGGCAGAGTGCCTTGGCATCACAGCTCACAGCAACCTCCAACTGCTGGGCTCAAGCGAGTCTCCTGCCTCCGCCTCCCAAGTAGCTGGGACCACAGGCGCCCGCCACAACGCCCGGCTATTTTTTGGTTGCAGCCGTCATTGTTGTTTGGCGGGTCCGGGCTGGGGATTCGAACCCGCCACCTTAGGTGTACGTGGCTGGCGCCTTAGCCGGTTGAGCTATAGGCGCCAAGCCGGGGCAAGAGCTCTTTATGCTGACTCCAGTGTTGTTTTGACAGGCCACCTTCTTTGTTTTCAGGCACTCTCTTTCTGGAATAGCAAGATGCTTCAGGCTCATTTTCTATCTTCCCTGCTTCAGCCTTGGAATCAGACATTTCTCTGAGGAGCTTTAGTACACATATCAGTAAGGGGGCATCTTTGCTCCTAGGCTCTTTCAGTTGTCAAAACTAAGGGAGAAATACACAGACACACACACATGCGTGCATGGAGATATACAAGGGCTGTCTGAAAAGTGGCCAGTCATGTGTGTGTCTGTTTTTCATATTCCGTGGCTGTATGCTTTCTGGACAGCAGTTGTATGTACACATGTACTTGTAGGTACAGACGTATGTTCAGTTACACGTGTGCCCATACACACATGCTGATGCATGCTGTGGAACTGCTGAGTTCACACTGATCAAAATAGTTTTTAAAGGGAACTGTCCTGGTATTTGGGCAAGCCAGTCTTCAGCCTATGGCATCAAAGGTGGGTAGACTTGTGCAGACCTGGCCGGGGATCTGTGAGGGATAAAGGGTATTCAAGAGAAAAGCAGGTTAATGTAGCGATCAGGCACTGCTTAGAACGCCATAGGGTTGCCCCTCTCTGAACAAGGCCGTCTGGTTTCCCTGTTTTTCCCCACACTTTCCACTAACTACCTTGAAGGGAAATGTCATTAATGTTGGGTCCTCTTGCCCCATTTCTGTCACTTGCACAGCTCCTTGGCTCTCCTGCCTCTGGGCCTTTCAAGGTATTTTCACCCTTGCATTCTTGCTGGGCGTTCCACCTTAGGCTTTTAGTCTCTTGCCCTTGGACTTGCCATCGTGGCCCTCTCCGCTCAGAATGAAGTCTCAACTCTGGCCTGATATACCCTGGGTTATTCTTTTCAGCTTCATTATATAGGGCTTCTGTTCACTTGCCCTGTCCTCCAGCTGCAGAACTGTCTTCTACTAAATGGATTCAGTATTCTATTTTCCTAGACTGTCATGGTTATAAAGAGCACAGATTCTGCCTGAGTTCAAATCCTATTTCCACCATTTGCTAGGAAACCTAACTTAACCTTACAATGTGCTTCAGATTCCTCACAATAAAATGAGAGCGAAAATAGCGTCTGCCTTGTAGGGTTGTTATGGTTGTTATGAGGTGTAAAGGAGATATTCCATGTAAAGGACTCAGAACTGTGTTTGCATGTAGAAAATATTATACTATGTGTAAGTATTAACTGCAGTCATTATTACTACTTATTATTGCCATCTGATGTCTTATCAGAATTCTGTGTATATGGCAGCATCATATACACCATGGGTAGGGCGCCAGCCTCATACACTAAGGGGTTTGAACTTGGCTAAAACAACAATGACAGTTGCAACAACAACAAAATTCAGTTGGGGTTTGAACCTGGCTAAAACAACAATGACAATTGCAACAACAACAAAAAAATAGCCGGACGTTGTGACAGGCACTTGTAGTCCTAGCTACATGGGAGGCTGAGGCAAGAGAATTGCTTAAGCCCAAGAATTTGAGGTTGCTGTGAGCTGTGATGCCATGGCGCTCTTCCCAGGGTGACAGCTTGAGACTCTGTATCAGAAACAAACAAACAAAAATTCTGTGTATATCTCTGCTCAAATGTGTTTTCTTAAATCTCCCCAACCACAATTCATCTTACCTAGCCACTTATGCATCTGTTACTTAAAAGAACTTTTTAAGACTTTCTTAAATATTTATTAAGTATTTACTATGTATAAGACATAAGACTACTCACTCTGAGGAATATAAAACTTAGTCAAGTACATACTGCCCTGTAAGAACTTAGAGTCTGGTAGGAGAGATCAAAGAGTTATAAAATATTAATTCAGCGAGTAATGATTGAGCAACTGCCTAGGATTCAGGAGCTGTATATAATTACGTGGGTTCTGACTGTGGTGTCGTGATTAATGATTGAGTTTTGGTGAAAGATCAGAGTTTGGGGTAGCTTAAACAAAGCATGATTACTGTGCTTTGGGAGATTTTACCAGCTAGGAAAGATTTCTTTAGAGAAAATGTTGCCAGCTTAGTGGGGATTGCAGGAGACTTTGCCTGTCTCTGCCTCTTTGAGGAAGCATCCACGTACTGCCTTGGGCTGCGGCTATAGGTGGACTGTAGGATTTTTATAATTGTAAGACCCTGGATGTTCCTTTCATTTTTTAGCTCCTAGTACTTCCACATCCAGCACAGACTCACTAGGGGATGATGACAGATTAGGGAGATGTCTTTTCCTGTGAAACTTAAAGGGAGATGAGATTATAATTTGATAATTCTTAATATCTAGGAAACACTAAACTTCCCAGAGAAGCCATTTGGGAGATGTTTATATTATGTCTTACACATTAACCATAGCCATAGTAGTCATGATAGCATAATAAAGTGAATTTGGCCTCAGTCCATGTAGATAATTCTTCCCATTTTTCTGTATATTTCTGGGAAGAAACTCTTGTAGATTCTCCATTAAGGCCTGCCCTGGTCCTAGAATTCCAGAGTGTGATTTTGTGACTTTGATCACATGGGAAATCTTAGTTTTAAGAACTGCCCAACAGTTGTAATTCTGAATTTCTCCTTGTAGCAAGGAGCAAGGACCAACCCCAGTGGAGAAAAAGAAGAAAGGAAAAAGGAAAAGTGAAACTACAGTGGAGAGTTTAGAGCTGGATCAGGGTCTGCCGAACGCATCCCTGCGGAGTCCTGAGGAGTCCACTGAGTCTGCAGACAGCCAGGTACAGCTGTGACCGGGAGGCCTGGCGGAGGTTAGGGCTGCTAGACGGGGTCGCGCTGACACTGATCTCCTTGGCTCTCCGTGCCTGACTCTAGCATACTGCCTAGACCTGGGCTTTTACTATTTGGGCGGGTGAGTGGGTAGACGATAGTTGTTTTCTCTAGCCTGAGTCTCATACTACTAATATTTCAGTGTTTTAGTGCTGTTAGTTTCCTTCTTGGAAATTGGTGTGATGTTAAGCTGCGGGCTGAATTGATACGGAAGATGAAGTTATAGCCAAGCTGGGTAAGGCTCAGGACCCTGTTTGCCATGTACTCAGAAGGCGAGGCCAGTCTGCACAAGGACATTTTTATAATCACACATGCTGGGAAAGTCAGAGATATAGTTACTATTCCAAAAATTAAGGAAGGTTTGGCCAAACATGGAAATAAGGAATTGCCTGTCTAACTCAGATTCCTAAAAAAGTTATAAAATATGACTTTTTGCCTATACATTGTGAGGATTTTCTTTTTGTCTGAGGCAGCCTCTCTTGGACGTGAAATCTAACATTTTAAAGTGCTCTCTTTCCCCTGATACCCATACCAATTTATCTGAGCCGTGCTTTGGAAGGAGACCATTTAGAGCAAGTGCTGCTTACTGCAACTTCCAGCATCATCTGGACCCTCATAGGTTTCTCAATGCTCTTCACCATGGGAAGCTGTCAACTCATAATGTTGTAGTATTAATAAGCAGTATCATGTGGTGTCAAAGTAGAGACCCCCTCGTTGCCTACAAACTGGGGCAGGTGGTGATTAGGTAGCCAGATTGGCGGAAGAGCAAGCACATTGAGTAGATGGGGTTTGGCAGGATGGTGGTCTGTGTGTGGGATCAGAGGGTAGGTTTTCATGTAGAAGCCCTCATGTAAAGTTCAGTGTCACAGAGCTGACATAGTGAAGAAGTGGTGAGGACACAGATGTCCAGGAGATGTCTTTTAGAAGAAAAGGGAGTTGGAGTTTGCTTTTGTTTCTGATTTTTAAGTTTAAATATTTGAGAGCAAGCTAGTTGGTAAAGGGTTCCCTGCCTGGACATGATGAATTTCCTCTGTTGGAGGAAAGCCACCGGGCAGCTTTGTTGTCGAATGTTGTTTCTCTAAAGATAACGAGCTAAATGCGTCACAACCAAGGTGACTCATGAACTCTTTTGTCACACTTGAGATGTCCTCCTGCATTTCAAGAAGTGGGAGGAGATTATCAAAGTAAGTCTTAATAAAATTGGTATTAGTTTTTCAAACTGTGTTTTAGAAATACATGGTAAGCACGATGAGTGAGAAACAAATTAAAAACAAATTAAAAAGTCATCGTGAGCTTCTAGCTAATGCCACAAGGGACCCCAAAGATGATGGGAGTTCACCTCCCATCCCTGTTGGATTGGAGTAGAAGCAACCCCAGGAAGGAAGAAAAAAGTCCCTGCTGTGGATGCACAGAATGCGTCTCGCTGGACTCTGGGACTGCACTTCTGTTCAGTGGCTCATAGCAGCTTGGAGACTGGGCTTTTATTCTCTCACTCACCGTGCTAGATCCCATTTTAAGTGAACTTAGTCCCTAAAAGTTATGTTTGAGAAAGAGTTATGTTTTGTAAGGTAAGAAAGCTCCCCTTGGCCTGTTAGTGAACGTAGACGAGGGTGTTCCTGTGTAAGCTTTTGCCTTTTCAACTCACAGAGCTTCTCTGACGGGTGCGTTTGCCCTGCAGAAACGGCGCTCAGGACGGCAGGTGAAGCGCAGAAAATACAATGAGGACCTGGACTTCAAGGTGGTGGATGACGACGGGGAAACAATTGCTGTTCTTGGTGCTGGGCGGACATCTGCACTCTCAGCATCAACACTGGCTTGGCAGGCAGAGGTATGACCTTGGTGCAAGGGTGGACCGTGGATGGGCAGTCACTTTCACCCAGTTGACAGAGTTGTTGGATAGCTCTTTGCCAGAGCTAGTTCTGCCACAGCGGTTCTCAACCTGTGGGTCGTGAACCCTTTTTAACAATGAAAATACATTGCGGCATGAGGAAGGCTGAGACCACTGCTTTAGAACAACATGCAGACTCCTTCCTGTGCTCGTCAGAACCCTCTGTGATCACATTCTCTATTTCACTAACTTAGTTTTTTGGATAAACAATTTTTCCTTATTTCTCTTTATGCTCCAGTCAGAAGACTAGCCCCCTTTAATGCCTGAACTAATGGTTCTTCCCCACCTACAGGCCTTTGCTGTATTATCCCTTCTGCTGGGAACGCTTTACATGACTTGTTTACCATTATTTAAGATTTACCGGCTCGGCGCCTATAGCTCAACCGGCTAAGGCGCCAGCCACGTACACCTAAGGTGGCGGGTTCGGATCCCCAGCCCGGACCCGCCAAACAACAACGACGGCTGCAACCAAAAAAAATAGCCGGGCGTTGTGGCGGGCGCCTGTGGTCCCAGCTACTTGGGAGGCGGAGGCAAGAGACTCGCTTGAGCCCAGGAGTTGGAGGTTGCTGTGAGCTGTAATGCCATGGCACTCTACCCAGGGGGAAAGCTTGAGGCTCTGTCTCAAAAAAAAAAAAAAAAAAAAAAAAGATTTACCTAAAGTGGTATCTTCTCAGAGAGGTCTTTCCTGATTCTTTTATCTAAAGTAGATCCCTTGCCCCTTTTTCTCAGGATTCTCTGTTTTTTCATAGCACTTAACACAACTTGTCTCTCTTATTAGAATGTAAAAGTCTCTTTGCAGTTTTTGGCTGGGGCTGGGTTTGAACCTGCCACCTCTGGTATATGGGGCCAGTGCCCTACTCCTTTGAGCCACAGGCACTGCCCAGAATGTAAAAGTCTTATACGTAGTAAATAGTTGTTCAGTGAGATCAAATGAGCTAGTTACTTAAGAGTTTTGGAGCCTTGGTTCAGCAAATGTGTGTTGAGAGTCTAGAACAGCGCTTCTCAACCTGTGGGTCGTGACCCCTTTGGGGGCACAGGGGTTGCCTAAATACATCCTGCATGTCAGATATTTACATTACGATTCATAACAGTAGCAAAATTAGAGTTATGAAGTAACAACGAAATTAATTTTATGGTCAGGGGTCACCCCAACATGAGGAACTGTTTAAAGTGTCACGGCATTAGGAAGGTTGAAAAAAACAGGTCTAGAAGTATGTGCTGGGTACGGTGGCCACCCAGAAGGAGGAGCAGGCAGGAAAGGAGTGGTCAAGGGCACAGGAAGACAAGGCCAAGGGAGGAACATTTCCAACTTGAACTAAAGCCCAAGGACCTGAATGGCCCTGCAGACTGGGATATGAACTAAAGCCCCAGGACCTGAATGGCCCTGCAGACTGGGATATGACAAATGAATGAGCTTGGCTGGATGCTGGGGTGTGCTGAGCAGGGTGGAAGGAGATGAGGGCTGAGAAGCAGGAGCAGTCAAAGTGTGCAGGACCTTGGCTATCACCTGAGGTATTTGGCCTGTATGACACAGACTGGACAAGGGGGAGGAGGCATTGGTGGGGTCAGGCAGAGAGGCAAGATGGCTATGTTTACATTTTAGCAATTTCCACTGGCAGCAGTGTCAAAGGAGTTGATACTGAGTTCTAGTGTTAGGATTTGATACAGAAGAACTAGAAAGGAAAAGGGTTAAATGTTGAAAAGGAAGAGTTCTGTGCCAAGGAGCTTGTAGAGAATAAATGAAAAGAGAAGTAGCAGGCTGTGCGTGTAGGAGGGGCATTGTTGCCAGCAGCACATTCTGGGACACAGGCTGTCTGTTGTTACCAAGTCACTGTCGCTGACTTGGCAGAATTCAGGCTCTGTGTAGAGTGGTAGCAGCACAAATACCTGTCATTCCTGGGTGCTAGTGTGTCTTATGGAAACTGATAAAGCTTTATCTTCCTCAACCACCTTGCCTCTAACTTAAAGCATTGTCATAGAATTTCACATGTCCTTTCACTCTGTCTTTACATGGAAATCAGCCAGGAGCAGGAGTGATTCTGACTGCCAAACAGTGAAGAAACTGAGGCACAGAACGATCCAGGTCAGAGTTAGATAGCAGTGGTTAATCAGTGACTAGCATTTAAGAGTTGATTTCGTAAGTCGGGTGAGGTGGCTCACGCTGTAATCCCAGAACTCTGGGAGGCCCAGGAGGGTGGATTGCCTGAGCTCTGGAACCTGCGAAAGAGCAAGACCCTGTTTCTAAAAACAGCCAGGCATTGTGGCTGGCACCTGTAGTCCCAACTACTTGGGAGGCTGAGGCTAGAGGATCACTTGAGCCCAAGAGTTTGAGGTTGCTGTGAGCTATGACACCATGGGCATTTTACCAAGGGCGACAAAGTGAGACTCTGTCTCAAAAAAAAAAAAAAGAAAGAAAAGAAAAAGTTGATTTCATGTCTCTGTGAAGGGTTATCCAACTAGCGAATATAATATTTAATAGAATAATAATTGGACATATTGTCATTGTAGTAACATTTAAGTAAATAGTTAAAGATTACTCTTATAAGACTGTTAGAGGTCACAGGATTGTGTTGCTTTGCGATGGGTTTTCCTTCTGGGGGATTTGATGTTGGTTTGGTGGGTGAAGCACTGTAAGGGACTTCATTTCCTCGTAATAGCCATTCGGCCTGGGTCACTAACCATGTTTCAAATGTTGTCATGACTTCTCCCCCAGCACCTGAAAGGCAGTGGTAGCAGAGCTGACACAAATAATTCAGGAAACATTTTTATGATATCAAGGCTTTTTTTTTCTTCTAAGGGTACAGCAAACAAAAGGTTTATATATGGAGTAATAAGATAAAATGGGAATTTGCAGTAGTTATACCTCAAAAAATTTTTACCAAACTTAAGCAAGAAAGAAGCTGGTGTGTGGTTTTGGCTTTGATGTTCGGAGAGGCTCCCCCGTGGATCTGGCCTTCACGCCAAAGGCCGCGTAGCATCAGAACAGGCCAGACAGCCAGTGGGAGACTGGAGAAGGCAGCTGATCAAGCAGTTTCAAATCAGTGCTCCACAGAGCCCCAGTTGCTGGAGAACCAGAACAGATCCACTTGCCACTGTTTGACATACTGGGCTTCCTGGTGGAGTTTGAGCAGAGACTTCCCAGGCTCATGCAAAGCTTGAGAGCCATGGATTTCAGGCAGCAAGTGGCACAGAAAAGCATTGAGGAAGAAAAGGCTTTTTCTTATGTCCTTCTCCCAAGGCCCTTTGGGTGAGTATCTGCCTGCTTGCTAGCTTTAGCTCAGGGCAGAGAAGGGCGTAGAGTCTGACCAGAAGTGCCCGCTGCCTCCTCTACAGATCTGGACAGGGTCTTGTGAGCGTGCTCAGCCTGCTTCTATGACTGCTGGGCCTTGTCCCAGGTTCAGATAGCAGCCACCTCAGCATTGGTTATGGAGTGGGGAGTTGCTCAAAACATCTTTACACAGGATTCATAGTAGCTCAAGACTGGCATACTATCACAACCCCACTTTGCAATCCAGAACACAGTGCAAAGGCCCCCGACCTGGGTATGGGACTCAGGGCCTGGAAGTGTTTCCATCCTAACTGTGACTCTGCTTTCTCATTCTTTGTCAAGCTGATGGTGCCTGGAGAGAGTTTCTGTAGTCCATTTACAGGTGTGTGGATTCACAAGTCTGTCTCAGTTTTTACCTACTACAATTTGGGTGACTTGTATGATTTTGCCTTTCGAAACAAAATGACTTATTTGTTTACTTACTTTTGAATCATTTATTCCCCTGAAGGGGTGCCCCGTTCTCGGAGGTACTGCAGTATCAGGTTGACGCATACAGTGGATGGAATAAGCTCCTATTCCATCTCCCTGCTCCAAAAGTCCATTGAATACTGTCCTCAGATAGAGAATATATTAGGTATTAAATTGAGCAAACCATGCATTACACGTGATCTTAGCTGAAAGGCCAAGAAGCAATGACAAAAGGACTTCAGCACTTGGTCCTCCCCGTCCCTCTGTGGTCCTTGCAGACGGCACCTTCTTTGTCAGGCCCTTCCTATGCCTGGCAAGCCGACCACAGGTGTTTTCTTCTCGGAGAAGTGCCCTGCCCCCTGAGCTGGTGATACGCACCCTCCTCTGTGCTCCTGTACCACTGCTGTGTTTAACCCCGGCACTGTCCTTTGAACACTTGGCACGAGCTACTTTGGGGTAGAGTTTTTATCATTTTTCCCAACGTATCTCTCAGGCATGAAAGTGTCTTAACAAAGTAAAACTTGTGTTAACCCCCAGGAACCATTTTGACGAAGCCCCACTGCTCCCTTTCTGTTTGTTATTTACTGTTGTTATATTTGTTATTCCCAAAGTCAAGAGTTAGCTGGAACCTTTGCTCCACCCACTCATAGACTGTGACTGTTCTGATCTACATCGTCCCTGCTATATTGTTTTATCACTCTTAATTTTTCCCTTAATCAGATTCTAAGGTTTTTCAAAACAGTCATCACTTTTTTCTTTTCCTTTGCCCCCTTTTTTTTAAATTGGAGGCTGGGTCTTACTCTCTTGCCCCAGCTAGAGTACAGTGGTGTTGAATCATAGCTTACTGAAACCTCAAACTCCTGGGCTCAAGCTGTCCTAATGCTCTAGAGTAGCTGGGATTATAGGCACAACACTGTCATGCCTGGCTGATTTTTTTTTTTTTAATAGAGATGTGGAGTTCTCACTCTTGCTCCAATTGGTCTCAAACTCCTGAGCTCAAGGAATTCTCCTGCTTTGGCCTTCCTGAGTGCTAGGATTTTAGGCATGAACCACTGAGGCCCTGGTTGCTGCAGTCCTCGCCTCACTTTTTAATTTATAGTAATTTTCCACGTAGCATAGGAAAAGCATTGTATCTGTTGAGTAGTAGCTTACATAAAGACTTGTACTTAGTTGTATTTGTCATATTTATTTAGTGAATGAGTAAATATATTTAAAACCCATTATGTGAACAGGTATGATTTTTTAACTCCTGTAGTAGAAATATGAGAAACTGATGTTTTTTTTTTTTTATCCCAGGCTCTTGTTTTTTTTTTTTTGTTTGTTTGTTTGTTTGTTTTTGAGACAGGAGCCTCAAGCTGTTCCCCTGGGTAGAGTGCCGTGGCATCTCAGCTCACAGCAACCTCCAACTCCTGGGCTCAAGCGAACCTCCTGCCTCCACCTCCCAAGTAGCTGGGACCATAGGTGCCCACCACTATGGACCATGGTTGCAGCCATCGTTGTTTGGCGGGCCCAGGCTGGATTCGAACCCGCCACCTTGGGTGTATGTGGCTGGCGCCTTAGCCACTTGAGCCACAGGCGCCGAGCCCAGGCTCTTATTTTTTACTGGCATTTTTTTCCCACTGGCATTGACTATTTCTCACTCTAAGCAGGCTTCTAAACCTGCACACAGACCCACTTTTCCTAGGCTCCTGGCTGCTCCTCGGCATTGATGTAGCTTCACACCAGCGTGTGTCACTCAGTGCAGGGGCAATCCTGGGCCCTTCATCATTAGCCTCCGATCTGCGTGGCCGGGGAGGATGGTTTCTTGAGTCTTCTCATTTCTTCACTGGATTCAGCTCCCTGTTAGCACACTGTGCTCTTCAGGTCCTTTCCTGTATTCACTTCCTCTTGGTTTCTGCTGCCACCCCCTGTGCTGAGCCAGTGTTGAGTTTATCACAGACGCACTTTAGTAGCTCCCTGCTACAGGTCTCTGTTCTCCCTAATCCAATGCCAGATGAATTTCCCAACAAAACTGCTGGTATAGCTCAGTCTCCTGCTCAAGAATTTGAGTTTGTTGCTTCTTTACTACTACTACTGTATTAGATCAAAATTCTTGTCTGTTTTAAAAAAAAAAAAATGCAGCCACCCTCTATGCATTTACCCTCCTCTACCTCCACTCCTCAGCTGTATAACGCTCCACGCGCAGGACAGGCTGCTTCCTGCTCCACATACGCATCCAGCTCCCACACTGTTGTTCCTTCATCCTCTGGGCCTTCCTCCTTTCCTTCCTCAAGGCCGGCCTCTTTTATGAGTCACCATTCTTTTGGGCCCAACTGAAACCTCGCTTACTCTGTGAAATCCAAGTGGTTCTCACTTTCTGAGCTCTCACTGGACTGTAGTCACTGTCATACCAATTAGCGTTT